TCATCATCATCATCATCATCATCATCATCATCATCATCATCATCATCATCATCATCAGCATGATGATTCATCATCAGCATGATTCATCTTCAGATGATGATTCATCTTCAGATGATTCATCTTCAGATGATGATGATGATGATGATCGTCCTCCCACTCCAGACATTTGTCTAAATTTACCTCCCCCGACTGATTTTATAATATCCTATGATCGTCCTCCAACCCCAGACATTTGTCTGAATCGTCCTCCAACTCCAACAATTCGTTCTCCTAACCCTCATTCAAAATCAAATCCTCGTAAAAGAAAATCCTCGGAATCCAACCCCCCCTCCTCTAACAATGATGATGATGGAAAAAAAAGTAAAAGAAATTAAAAAGCTTTTTTTTTTTACAAATTTAGTTTAAATTATTTTTTTTATTTTTTTGTTTAAAAAAAAATGATAAAAAATATAATAATATTTAATAAATTAATGTTGTATATATTTTTATATTTAAAATATTTTTTAATAACATTAATTAATAAATTTGTAATTTCTATATACTCTGTGTGTATTTTTTTTTGTATACTTCCTATAATTTACCTTTTCCCTAATTCAAAAATAATAAAAATTATATTGACAATTAAATATAAAAAAATATATAACCAATTTTTTAAGTAAAAATATAAATTATTTAATTATTATTTCATAGTTACCCTTCACAGATAAAATTACCATATGTCGGGAAGTTACCCTTCCTAGATATAAATTACTATATATCAGGTAAGTTACCATAAGTCGGTAAGTTATCATTCATAGATGTTATCCATGAATTTCTACTTTACCTACTAAGTGATTCATAGTGTTTTCAAGATCTACCGCACAGGATAATCGATGCAGTAGAGTAATAGTAGGGAGTGATGTGGTGGGAGAGATGGGGTGGGAGTGTAACCTAGCTACCCCCCCTTACCACCCACTCATTTGCATATGCCTTTTTAGAGAATCCCTCCCCCTTTCCACCCTCTTGACCACCCACCACCCCCCTTACCACCCACTTATTTGCATAGGCCTTTTTAGAGAATCCCTCCCCCTTTCCACCCTCTTGGCCACCCACCACCCCCCTAATTTGCATATATCTTTCCTACATATTAACATATACGGCCCCGAAAATTCAAAAATCATAATTAGAACGTCGAGGAACAAAGGGTTCGCGAGATACCGCGCGGGACTGTGGGTGGTTGGGAGTAGGTGGCTGTGGGTGGTGCACAGTGGATGACTCAAAAGTTTGCGCGGCACATGCGCGCGTACATCACCGGGCCCGTTGGTAGTCCATGCGTCAAGTGGGGATGGAGTTCGGTAGTGGGGTGTTGTGAATAGTGGGGACGACATGTACCTCAGGCGATTCCCGTGGCAAGGAAAGTCATTCTGTTCTAGGTTCCAGAATCAGCAGCATCAACCCGGGGCTCCTCCTTACATACACCAGTACTAGTAGCTGTCTCACCAAGCTGAGTCGGGTCCATGAGAGAGAGAGAGAGGGGTGCTACTCACTCACGCCAATAGTAGCTGTCTCACCAAGCTGAGTCGGGTCCATGAGAGAGAGAGAGAGGGGTTCTTCTTCTCACTCACACCAATAGTAGCTGAGTCGGGTCCATGAGAGAGAGAGAGAGGGGTTCTTCTTCTCACTCACACCAATAGTAGCTGAGTCAGGTCCATGAGAGAGAGAGAGAGGGGTTCTTCTTCTCACTCACACCAATAGTAGCTGAGTCGGGTCCATGAGAGAGAGAGAGAGAGGGGTTCTTCTTCTCACTCACACCAATAGTAGCTGAGTCAGGTCCATGAGAGAGAGAGAGAGGGGTGCTACTCACTCACGCCAATAGTAGCTGTCTCACCAAGCTGAGTCGGGTCCATGAGAGAGAGAGAGAGGGGTTCTTCTCACTCACACCAATAGTAGCAGTCTCACTGAGTTCAGTCAGGCGCGCAAGAGAGGGGGCCACCTACACGTAGAAGCAGTTGTAGTAGAAGCGTGCACATATATCTCATCTAACTCAACACGCTTGAGACTACTTTCACTTCACAGACTGTAGTCTCAGTGAGTTAAGACTTGTTTCTTGCCTGTCTCAACTTGCTCAAGCGCGCTAGAGAGGGGGTGCTACTTTTACACACATTGTGTGTTATAAAGTTTAGTCAGAACATTTTTATGTAAGTATTTATTTATTTATATGTGTATATAATGTTAGTAATAATTAAAAAAAATTCCTTTATTCTGTTGCAGACTAGTCTCAGGAGTAACAACAAACAATTAAGGGTCAAAAGCATTCAGTTTGGAGGTTCCAAATATATCCGTGAGAGGGGGTTCCACTACATTCAACTACATTCAACAGCATTTTTTTTTCTCTGTTTCAGCTTATTCTTTTTGTTACAGTATCGTTTTAAATAAAAAACAACAATAAAAAATGGCTACACGCAGAAATAATAAACCTTATGAAAGAATAGTTTCACAGGATAGCATTAATGAAATTTGTGAAGTATCAGAAAATTTCATTAATGTTGCGAAAATTGAGTTAGAATCTGTATCATCCAAGTCAGGTGATGATCGTTTCATTAGCGCATTTGAGTGGCATAACAAATGTAAAAAACATTATTCTCTTTTAAAAAAATTTTCAAAACGTTTCTCTTCTATTAAAGGTAATCAAAAGGAGAGAATTTTAAATTTACTAAAACAAATTTATTATTTTGAATGCCACTTTGATTCGGTAATGAAACGTGGATCAGGTTTGGAAGCGAATGATAGAATTAAATGGACTGTGACTGATAGGGCATTTAATTCAAGAATTCAAAGCGGAACAATTATTAATATGAGTCACATAGATGTTAATTTATTCTTAGATGATGCCTTTTCAATTTATGAAGATCAAGTTAAAGCCTGTTTAAATAGGTTAGGTTGCTTAAAAGTTTATACAGTTTTGGTAGCTAAATTTAAAAAGACTTTAGCTGATGGAACAAGTATTTTAGATTTGAAATCATTTATTGCAAAAACAGGCGAGATTTTCCCTGCAACAGATTTAAATAACTTTTATAATGAAAATGTTAAGCAAATAACCCTCAAACTTATGGAAGAATTTCAGGAGAAAGAATCAAATTGGCAACTTCACTCTATTCTCAGATTAGATGTGAACTTTAACAAATACAACCCTATGCGTGTTGGTTGTTTCATTAAACTGCCACTTGCCATTGAACGAAAAAAAGCCTGTATAAATGTCCGAAAAGAAGGTAATGAATGCTTCAAGTGGGCGATTCTTTCAGCATTATATCAAACCTCCTCTAATTCGGGAAGAGTGAAAAAATATGAGAAATTTGAAGATACTTTAAATTTTACAGGTATTACATTTCCTGTAACATTTAAGGATATCCGAAAATTTGAATCTCAAAATGATGTTTCAGTAAATGTTTATGGTTTACAAAAGCATAAATCAAAATTTACTGTAATACCATTATATCTCTCATCTAGTAAGAAAGTCTCACATGTGAATCTTTTACGCATTGAGGAAGATTATGATGAATGTGAGGAGGAAGATTGTGTTGAAAAATCAAACACTACCACCTCATTCACTTATCATTTCGTTTGGATAAAAAATTTATCCAGGCTTGTAGGCAAACAATTATCACAGTCTGAATATAAGAAGCATATTTGTGATCGGTGTTTACATTATTTTAAAAATGAAGAGGAGCTTAATAATCATATAGAAAATTGTATAAAACTAAATAAAACTAAAGTTATTTTACCAAAGCCTGGACAAAATAGGGTTCATTTTAAGAATTTTTATAACAAGGAGCGTGCTCCGTTTATCATATATGCTGACTGTGAGAGCCTACTGCTTCCTGCGACTGATTCTTCATTCGTAGGGGATAATACAGAAGTTTTTCAAAAACATAAACTTCTGAGCATTGGCTACTATTTAAAGTGTTATGATGACACTTTATCAGTATACAAAGCATCCCCTATTAATGAAGAAGATGCAGCAAAATGGTTTGCTCGTGAATTAAAACAAGTGGCAGAGGATGTTGAGCCTGTTTTTATAACTAACGTTCCGATGGAAGTCTTAAATGCAACTCAAAAAGCAGCATTCAAAAATACTAATGTTTGTCACATCTGCAGAAAAATTATCACGCATGGGGGTGTTAAGGTTAGAGATCACTGTCATATAACTGGTAAATATAGAGGAGTCGCTCATCAGGATTGCAATCTGAAATATCAGGTTTCAAAAACTATTCCTGTGGTTTTCCATAACTTGAGTGGATATGATGCACATTTCATTATAAAAGCTATCGCGACTGAGTTTGAGGGTAATGTTAGCCTCCTTCCAATTAATAAAGAAAAATATATAAGTTTTACTAAACACGTTGCAGCAAATGATATCAAATTTAAATTTATAGATTCCTTTAGATTCATGGCATCATCTTTGGATAAATTAGCATCTTATTTGACGAATTATAATATTGTAAATTCTGAATTTCAAGCCTATGATATGGATAAAATTCAGTTACTAACCCGTAAAGGAATTTTTCCATATGAGTACTTGGATTGTAGATTAAAACTTAATGAGGAACAACTACCGCCAATAGAGAAATTTTACAGTACCTTAAATGATTCAAATATAAGTAATGAAGATTATCTACATGCACAAGAGGTTTGGTCTGCATTTAATTGCAAAAATATCGGTGATTATGTATATTTATACATGAAAACAGACATTTTATTACTTGCAGATGTTTTTGAAAATTTTAGAGACCAATGTCTTGATGCATATGGTTTAGATCCAGCTCACTATTATACAACTCCTGGATTGAGTTGGGATGCTATGCTAAAGTATACAAATGTTGAGTTGGAACTTCTTACAGATATTGACATGATCATGTTTATTGAACGTGGCATTAGGGGTGGGATTAGCCAATGTTCAAATAGATATGCTCATGCTAATAATCATTATATGAAGAATTATAATGAAAAGGAAGAATCATCTTACATTGTGTACTTGGACGCTAATAACCTTTATGGATGGGCTATGGTACAAGCACTTCCCTACGGTGGTTTTGAGTGGGTAAAAAATATAGATAATACATTTAACTTTAACATCCCTGATGATTCACCTTTTGGTTACATATTAGAAGTGGATTTAGATTACCCTCATGAATTGCATAACAGTCATAGTGACTTACCATTTTGTCCTGAACACTCAAAGCCACCTGGATCAAAACAATCGAAGCTGTTAACTACTCTCTTACCGAAACAAAAGTATATAATCCATTATCGTGCACTTAAACAAGCATTAGCACATGGTATTAAACTTAATCATATACATCGAATTTTAAAATTTAAACAGTCCACTTGGTTAAAAAGTTATATTGATTTTAATACTATGATGCGAACAAATGCTAAAAATGAGTTTGAAAAAAATTTGTTCAAACTTATGAATAATGCTGTTTATGGCAAGACTATGGAAAATGTACGAAAGCATGTAGATGTCAAGCTTGTGACAAAGTGGGAGGGTAGGTACGGTGCCGAGGCTCTTATTTCAAAACCAAACTTCCACACAAGAGCTATCTTTAATGATAACTTGATTGCTGTGGAACTCACAAAAACGGAAGTGTACATGAATAAGCCAATCTATATTGGACTTAGCGTTTTAGATATTTCTAAAACATTAATGTATGATTTTCATTATAATTATATGAAAATCAAGTATGGTAATAATTGTAAATTACTCTACACTGATACCGATAGCCTTGTGTATAAAATTAAATGTGCAGATATCTACTCTGATATGAAGGTAGATATTTGCAAATTTGATACATCAGATTACCCAGCTAATAATGTATATGGCATTCCGCAAGCTAACAAAAAAGTCTTGGGTCTCATGAAAGATGAGTGCAGTGGGAAAATTGTAACAGAATTTGTTGGATTGCGGAGTAAAATGTACAGTCTTCGCGTTGAAGGTCAAGATTTTATAAAAAAAGTTAAAGGTATCAAGACGGCAGTTGTGAAAAAAACTATTACTTTCAATGATTATCTATTCTGCTTAAAAAACGTTCAAATTCAATCTAGAACACAGTATTGTATTAGATCAAAATTGCATAATGTACACACATTAAAACAAACCAAAACAGCTTTAAGTCCATTTGATGATAAGAGATATTTATTAAAAAATAGTACAGACACTCTCGCTTGGGGACATTGCAATATTGTAAACCATGATGATGATGATGATGTAGAAATGTTACAAGTCTGATGTATATATTTGTTATTTATTTATATTTATTGTATATTTCTTATTTATTTATATTTATTGTTTATATTTCTTATTTATTTATATTTATTATACATATTGAAAAAAAAGAGTTGTAGTGGAAGGAAATTCTTATTAAATGAAAACTTTTTATTAATTTTATGTCTACTTTATTTAATATAACCTTCATATACATTATTACAATTGTTGACATAGCTCTAACAAGTATAAATAAATTCTCAGAAGATGCCTTTGTTCCTTTTTTTTCAAAAAAAAGCAAGTTGAAACAAGTCTAATCTGTGAAAAGCATAAATTTCTTTCTTTGTTCCTTTTCAAAAAAAAGCAAGTTGAAACAAGTCTAATCTGTGAAAAGCATAAATTCTTTTCTTTGTTCCTGTTCAAAAAGGCAAGTTGAGAAAAGTCTAGACCATGAAATGCATAAATTCTTTTCTTTGTTCCTGTTCAAAAAAGGCAAGTTGAAACAAGTCTAGTCTGTGAAAAGCATAAATTTCTTTCTTTGTTCCTTTTCAAAAAAAGCAAGTTGAAACAAGTCTAGTCTGTGAAAAGACTAAAATTTTTTTTAAAATTATAATGACTTTTTTTTTTGTTTCCTTCAACAATGAAGTTGGAATTTGTCTAAACTTGCTTAATTTCATTCAGTATATGAAAAGAACATTCTCTTAACTTTTCTAAAAGTTAACTTTAACTTTTGAAATAGTTAACTTTAACTTTTCAAATAGTTAACTTTAACTTTTCAAATAGTTAACTTTAACTTTTCAAATATTTACATGCTTTTTAAATGTAACTTTTCAAATAGTTAACTTTAACTTTTCAAATAGTTAACTTTAACTTTTCAAATAGTTAACTTTAACTTTTCAAATTTTACATTTCTGATTTTTTTATCCAACTATTGTGAGAATTATCGAATCCAAGCCATTTGACATAGATTTCATTACGACGATTTTTAAGGACTTTTTCTACCAAATAAATATCTGGAAATTTCACTTTGGAAATTTCTTCTTCATAGAAGCCGCCTTCGATGGGTTGATCTTGATAATCCTTCAGCTTGTAAGTTACTGGATTCGTTGATTTGACTTGAATAATGGTGAAAATTTCAGTCGTCCAGTTGGGTGTGTATCCTTTTTCAAAAACATTCTTATACTTGCTCACTCGTACTCGATCACCAACTATGAATTTTGCTTTTTTAGGCAAAATTTTTCTTTGTTTGGAGATGCGTTTCAACAGTTTCTTTTCATCTTCTCTGCTGACATCCTTAGGTTTCATTCCAATAGTACGATGTTTATTGTTATTATACTTTGTAACAAGAGATGGTAAAATGTCTTCCCATTTATAACTTCCTCGTAAGTTGAACTGTGGCCACATCATATTTTTTAGTGTGCGGTTAAATCTTTCGATAATTGAAGCTTTTAAATTACTATAAGTTGAATACAGTTTAATTTTATATGATTTCATTAAACTCTCAAATATAGAATTATAAAATTCTTTTCCTTTATCAGTATGCAAGTTTGTAGGAACACGTCCATTCACAAGTATAGATTCCATAGCTTCAGAAACATCTTTTCCACTTTTACTTTTTACAGGAATAGCCCATGCATACTTGGAAAATATATCTATAACTGTAAGCATATATTTAAAACCTTTATTAACTTTAGAATAAGGTATCATTTCAACTAAATCTGCTTGCCAAGTTTCATCAATTCCACGCATTTCTACTTTACGACGTGGATAATTTCTCCTAGCTTGCCTATGTAACTCTGTCACAACTGTTAACTTTTTATCATCCATGTTCAAGGATTTATAATAAAATGATCTGAATAGAACAATATTCAATATAATAATGATGTTGATTTTACAAGTTCACTCTTAATATATAATTTGAGCTTCCCGTAATTCTTCAATTATTGACATAATTTCATTGTTATGACTTGAATTGCCAGCCTGTTGTGATGCGACAAGTAAGCGTAGACGATCAACAATCTCATTTGGATCATCCCAATAGACATAGTCTGGATATGATTCTTTCTTCACCGTCATAAATTGTGGTAATTGAGTTTTTCTCTTCAAATAAGAATCTCCGGATTTGAGCAAAAGTTTTGCAATAACATTAGTATATTTGTAAGTCTTATTACTACGAATAGGTTTATTTGGGCTATAGTTCTTTCTATGTGCATTCGTACTACGCAGGATTTCTTTATAGTTTACGAAATCATTAGCATTTGTTAACTTCTGATCAGGTTTTTGTCGGAATATGAGTTCCAATAATCCATCCGTTTTAGAATATTTTTTCTTCCCAACTAGGTTAATGTAAGAACCTTCAAAATTAATTTGTGTATCACCAATCATATATGTACCGTCGGGAAGTTTACGTACTCCATAAACCATATCTATATATTGTTTCCTATTTTTATCCAACATTTGTAGAAATTTCTTTGTTAATTTATCAGAATCTTCTTCTTCTTCCAGAGTATCAATCACATTACTTGCGTCTTTAATATTATACATGCCTTGCTCATGAAAGGTATCATTAAGTATATTATTATTTTGCTCATTAACAATAATATTATGATTCTCTTGATTGGGCAATCTATCAATTATATTTTCTTTTGATAAATTTTGCATGTCTTCTTCTTCATAAATAGGATCATAAAACGTTACATCATCATTATAAATAGATTTGTTGAAAGGTGTATCTTTACTAATGGCAGTCTTAAAAGATGATTCAAAGTCTTCTTCTTCTTCTTTCTTTACATGGTTTTGAAAATTTTCAATCTTTATAGGATTTTTAGTTATATTGACTAATTTTTCCAATGGAGTAACTAATGGTTGAAAGGTTTCTTTCAACATATTTTCAGCTGACTCTCTGCCACTTTTAAGAATACGATGCTTTCGACGTATAGCATCACTTGCTGCAGCTATTTGATGTAGTGTCTCTCGCTCCTTTCGAAACATGTTTATTTATGAAAGTCTCAAACTGAACTAATACAATTCTCTTGAAATGCTTAATATTTATAACTGAATAAAGCAATCAAATCCCTTCCTATATCTTCCATCATTTATATTTCTATCTTTATCAATAACTACAAATCCATACCTGTCAGAGTTCCAACATACTGAACATAAATCTCGAAACTGTGTAAAAGTCATATCTGTATTCACATGATCACTGTAAACATGCTTGAGATTCCTTTCATCTTGTCTGAATAGCACAAGCAAATTAATATTATCTCTAACAAGATGTTTTGGAATATGAGCATATGTTTGACAAAGATAAAAACTATCGACGTTAACATGCCGCCCCATACAAAAAAACGCCTTAACATTGTCCTGCTTCTCACAAGCGATATCATCAAAAATGAAAATTGAATTAGTTTTTGCATCCTTAGGCGTAACAACTTGTTCATGTTCACTGAATGGGAAGAACTCGATGCCATCTACTTTACTAAGTACTTGTTCCAAAAATTTATATTTCGGCTGCTGTAATGATTTTGAATATAAATATATATTTTCAAATCCTAAACCATTCGGATGTATAATCAGAGAGAGAAGTGCATTCGTTTTTCCACAATTTGATGGTCCACAAAAAGCTGCTCGAATACTATTTGAAAATAAACTTCCATGTCGTTTAACCCCATTATCTTTACTTTCAATGAGGTTATCCACATTGGCAATGGGGAGTTGTACAGCTTGTACCTTGAACTGCATCTTAGAATTGACTAATGAAAAAACTATAAATACCCCACTTATATAGTCGCCCTCAATCAGTTGGTTATAGACCATTGTCGAGTGAGGTATGATTACTCACGATAAAGTGAAGAAAAATTCTTGCAGTGGTCAAGGATTTCTCAATACTTTAATTAACAAATTACCATTCGAGTGTCACATTCCTGGTTATCAATATTGTGGACCTGGAACAAAGTTGGCAAAACGTCTTGCACGAGGGGATCCTGGTATAAATCCTTTGGATACGGCTTGTAAGGAGCATGATATAGCCTATTCAAAAGATAAAGACGTGGCTGCAAGAAATACTGCAGACAAAATACTAGCTGAAAAGGCGTGGGAACGAGTAATTTCCAAGGACGCTAAAATTAGTGAAAAAGCAGCTGCATTAGCTGTAACTAATATAATGAAAGCTAAATCTAAATTTGGGATGGGTTTAAAAATTAATAATAATATTAAGAAAAAGATTGTGAAGAAGAAGAAGAAGAAGTCGAAGAAGAAGAAGAAGAATACAATTTCCAAGAAAAATAAACGCATGACATTAAGGAAGATTATTCATGCTGCTAAAAATAATATGAAAAATAATCATAACGCAACGGACACTATTAAAACAGCAATGATTGGTGCACAAAATGCAGTTAAAAATCTTGGTAGTAAGTGTAAAATTTCATCACCTCGAATTCTTCCTGTACCTTCAAAAGTTGGCGGTATTTTACCGCTAATACCAATTTTTGCCGGGCTTAGTGCATTAGGAGCACTTAGTGGTGGAGTCAGTGGTATTGTAAAAGCAGTAAATGATGCTAATGCTGCTAAAAAACAACTTTCAGAAGCACATCGACATAATGAAACAATGGAGGCCATTGCTATAGGAAAGGGTATATATTTGAAACCCTATCGTAAAGGACTTGGTCTTTATATTAAACCACATCAAGGAAATGGATTGAAATATACAAAGAGTGTTCAAAAAAACTAATATTGAAGCTACCTCACCGCGCACTAACCGACTATGATTTACTTAAATATGCTAAACTTATGAAAATACCTAAATTTCGTGGAGTTTTTATGAGAAATGAATTACCTATTACAGGACCTTATAAATGTGAATCAGCCATAATTAATCTTGATAATAAAGAAGGTCCTGGAACACATTGGGTAGCATATAAAAAGATAAACAATGAAACTGAATATTTTGATAGTTTTGGAAATCTTTCACCACCATTGGATCTCATTGTTTATCTAGGTGTTGGTAGCTATATAAAATATAATCATGAGAGATATCAAAATTTTGATACATTTATATGTGGTCATTTATGTCTTAAATTCTTATGTAAGCAACTTAACGTTAAGAACAGTTTTAATCTATATAAGAATATGTAAATAATTATAACCTTCAGTATAAAAGTAGATGTCCAACATGAATGACTCTTTTACTTTAACGTTAACGGGAAAGTCTTCAGTTATGGAGGCTTCATACTTCCCACCTATTGAACTTTCACCTAATAAAAATTATACACTTGGACTTGTTGATTTATTTACATATAACTCAATTCCTAACATTGATGAAAATTGCAACAAATTTTATATAAACAATATTGAGATTACTATACCTACTGGCAGTTATGAAATTAAAGATATAGAAGCATATTTAAAACGTCAAATAACAGACAAAAATTATTTGTCAATAGAGTGCAACAATAGTACATTACGATGCTATATTAAATCAAATCTTTTGATTGACTTTACTCCTGAAGATTCTATTGCTAGTTTATTGGGATTCACTGCTCGCAAACTACCACCGAATGTAAAACATTCCTCTGATTTACCTGTAAAAATATTGAAAGTGAATGCTCTACGCATTGAATGTAATATTACCACTGGAGCGTATATAAATAGTGAAAAAGTCCACACTATACATGAATTTTTCCCCACTGTTCCACCGGGATATAAGATTGTAGAAGTTCCAGCACACATCATTTACCTTCCAGTCGCCGTAAGGACAATACATAACATTCAGCTGCGTATAGTAGATCAGAACGGTATTTTGATTAATTTTAGAGGAGAGACAATAACAATCCGTTTACATATTAAATCAATGTAATGGGTATTGTTTATAATCGAAAAGTTGGAAGTAGTTATAAAACTCAAACACCATGTCCATCGAAGATCAGTTTGAAAACAGCTCGCAAGGTGTTAACACCTCAGAGTCGACAATTCCTGAAGCAGCTAGGTCTACGAGTCAGAAATCAAAACTAAGGAAGAGAAAGAAGAGAAGAGGAGAAAATTTTTTCTTGTTTATTTTGTGTCGCTGTTATAAGAAAAATGGAGGAGATTCTCAGCATTCCAGCATCAGTGAATTTTGATGAATCCATAGCTAATTATGAGATTCACAGTCATCAACCATATGCATCCTCATCGTTTAACAATAGTGATGAAATTCGCATTATTGTACAAAATCAAGATTTATCTATTTTGCCAAGCAATAGTGTATTACATATTTTTGGAAGGTTGACTAATGCTGATGGAACTGATGCCACACAAAATATTCATTTCACCAACAATGCGATAGCCTATTTGTTTGATGAAATTCGTTATGAATTGAATGGTATTGAGATTGACCGTTGCAAGTATGTTGGACATACAACTACTATGAAAAGCTTGGTTTCTTTAACACCACCTCAACTTAACCGCGCTGAAAATGCAGGAGTTTTGAATGTGGAATTGAATACAAGAATGGCATTACAAGATGGATATTTTGATATATCAATACCACTTGGTATGATTTTTGGTTTTGCTGAAGATTATAAAAAAATTGTTATGAATGCTAAACATGAACTGATTTTAATAAGAGCACGTAGTGATTTAAATTCTATTATTCAAATGGGCGAAGGTGCAGATGAACAGTTCAAAGTGCAAATTAATAAAGTGGAATGGTTAGTGCCATATGTTTTACCATCTGATAATAATAAAATCAAATTATTGAAATTTATCGAGAAAGATCCACTAATTTCAATGAGTTTTCGATCGTGGGAAATGTTTGAATATCCTTTAATTCCATCAAGTACAAGAGTCATGTGGCAAATAAAATCGTCAACACAATTAGAGAAGCCTCGATATGTAATTGTTGGATTCCAAACAGGAAGAAAAGATAAACGTAAAAAGTCTGCCAGTTATTTTGATCACTGCGACATTACAAATGTAAAACTCTTTTTAAATTCACAATCATATCCTTATGGAAATTTAAATTTAAATTTTAATCAAAATCAATATTCTATACTTTATGATATGTATGCTAATTTTCAATCTTCCTACTATGGAAGAGATTCTGAACCCATATTGAAGCTTGATACTTTTAAATCATTGGCTCCTCTAATTGTTATTGATTGTTCAAAACAAAATGAGTTTCTCAAACAAACGTCAGTTGATGTACGTTTGGAATTTGAAGCTAGAAATAATATACCTGCTGAAACAACTGCTTATTGTCTCATCATACATGATCGCATTGTACAGTATAAACCAATCAGCGGTATAGTTAAAAAACTGTAAAGCAATGGAGGGGGTAAAATGAACGTAGTGGGGAGGGGTTGAACTGAGAGGTATATAACTCACGTTCCTGGGATAGAAATTTATTTCTATTCCAAGATGGAGTTCATCGTAGACGTTCAAGGCTTCAAGAAACCCTGCAACGATTTCATTTTCAAAGAGTTGGCTATACTTCCTCTTGAAGCTGATGCTCAACCTCGAGTTTACCTCTTTGAACCTCCATGTGCTTGGAATTCACTACCTGAACGTTATAAAAGTGAAAATCTCTGGCTAACAAACAATTATCATGGAATCCACTGGATGTCTGGAGATGTATCTTACGATGAATTGCGTACTATTATACAAGAAACATTACGAGGTGCAAAAACTATCTACACGAAAGGTGTTGAAAAAAAGCAGTGGTTAGAAAAATATTTGTTAAATGTACAAAATTTAGAAGATATAGACTGTCCAGCGATTAAAAATATTAAAACTGAATCATTGTTAACTACATGTACGCATCATATTACACAAACTAACCATTGTGCTGTAAACATTGTTATGATTCTTCGAAATTGGTTTCTAAATGTATCAAATGAATTGAGAAATTTTTCAGATGGCGTCGATGAAGTGGATTGTACTTATACTACTTTGAAATCTTTTTATGAAACTTCTGAATCTCTATTATTATAAATTTAATCTATTTTTGAATAAATAAATATAATAGTATTAAAAAATTAATATCTTTTTATTGTTGTTCAACCTATGCCCTTAGTATTAAGACTAATAATGAAGGTAAAATAAGAAAAGAAACAATTTTTTTAAGTAAAAATTTATAAATTTATTTTCTCTCATCACATTTTTGAATATATTTACATTTTTTTCTATTACAATTTTTTTTATGTATATTTTAATAATATTTAATATATTATTTATATTCAAATTGAATTTCATTAAATTTTCCACCGAGATATTTTAATTGCAATGTTTGAGACTGCGCGGCTTCTTCCATCATCGTATAGGAAGTAGGTTCAGCTTCAAACAGCCGAGCAAACCTTGCTGGCAGGAATGTTGTGAAAGCAGCATCCAATTCTGCTACAATCCTGACTCCGAATTTGGTCTGCACTCGCTTTATTTTAGTCACTGCATACAACCCATTTGGAGTCAATTCAGCTAGCGGTTTGGTAGGTAGGAAGCTTTCCATACGGCCAACAGCGTTAAGTTTTTGTAAATCCATAGTTTTTTTTATATCTGTAAGCAAAAAATAAAATTAAAAATAATAAAATTGAATAAAAAAAGGATTTGAAGAAGAAAAAAAAAAAGGATATAATACATACCGAAAAAATGTCTCTACTGCTGCTAGTGCTGATGCTGCTAGTGCTGATGCTGCTAGTGTTGATGCTGCTAGTGCTGATGCTGCTAGTGTTGATGCTGCTACTGCTGGTGCTGCTGCTGATGTTGGAAATCTAGGACAGAAATGATCTCTCTGGAACTGGAACCCGCACTTTAACTCTGAAACCCCACTCTTCCTCAACTCCCACTCTATATTACCCCCACTTGAAAACTGCGGAGGCAACTCCCCCTTTAATGTAAACTCTGTACCCCCACCCTATTACAATAATGCGCACGCAAAGTTGTTGAAAAGAGAGGGAGAGTGCGCGAGCAAATCACCATATACTCTGTATCCCCTCTTTATTATAATAATGCGCACGCAAAGTTGTTGAAAAGAGAGGGAGAGTGTGCGCGCAACTCACCATATACTCTGTATCCCCTCTTTATAATAATAATGCGCACGCAAAGTTGTTGAAAAGAGAGGGAGAGTGCGCGCGCAACTCACCGTACCCCACTCTGGTTGTCAAGAGGGGTGGGGTCAAGAGGGTGGAAAGTGGGAGGGAATCTCAAAAGGCATATGCAAATGAGTGGGTGGTAAGGGGGGGTGACCAAGAGGGTTAAAAAATTCAAAGCATATGCAAATTATATGCAAATGAGTGGGTGGTAAGGGGGTGGCCAAGAGGGTTAAAAAATTCAAATCATATGCAAATGATATGCAAATGAGTGGGTGGTAAGGGGGTGGCCAAGAGGGTTAAAAAAATTCAAAGCATATGCAAATGATATGCAAATGAGTGGGTGGTAAGGGGGTGGCCAAGAGGGTTCAAAAATTCAAATTATATGCAAATGATATGCAAATGAGTGGGTGGTAAGGGGGTGGCCAAGAGGGTTCAAAAATTCAAAAATTCCCGCGAGCAACAGCGCCATCTCGCGACAACGGTCGGTAACACCGATCTATGGTAAAGTAGAGTTACCATAGGTCGGTAAGGTAGGAATCGAATAGGACTGAGCTAGAACCTACATAGCTCTACTACTATTATTTTTGAAAAAAAAATTATTTTTCAGTTACATTGAGTTAATATAGCTGAAAAATGCAAAATCTAATGATTTTTGATAATTTTTTTTAATTTTTGAAAAAATTCAAAATTTTCAAAATTTTCAAAAATTGTTAAAAATTAATTATTTTTGAAAAAAAAATTATTTTTCAGTTACATTGAGTTAATATAGCTGAAAAATGCAAAATCTAATGATTTTTGATAATTTTTTTTAATTTTTGAAAAAATTTTCAAAATTTTCAAAAATTGTTAAAAATTAATTATTTTTGAAAAAAAAATTATTTTTCAGTTACATTGAGTTAATATAGCTGAAAAATGCAAAATCTAATGATTTTTGATAATTTTTTTTAATTTTTAAAAAAATTCAAAATTTTCAAAATTTTCAAAAATTGTTAAAAATTAATTATTTTTGAAAAAAAAATTATTTTTCAGTTACATTGAGTTAATATAGCTGAAAAATGCAAAATCTAATGATTTTTGATAATTTTTTTTAATTTTTGAAAAAATTCAAAATTTTCAAAATTTTCAAAAATTGTTAAAAATTAATTATTTTTGAAAAAAAAATTATTTTTCAGTTACATTGAGTTAATATAGCTGAAAAATGCAAAATCTAATGATTTTTGATAATTTTTTTTAATTTTTAAAAAAATTCAAAATTTTCAAAATTTTCAAAAATTGTTAAAAATTAATTATTTTTGAAAAAAAAATTATTTTTCAGTTACATTGAGTTAATATAGCTGAAAAATGCAAAATCTAATGATTTTTGATAATTTTTTTTAATTTTTGAAAAAATTCAAAATTTTCAAAATTTTCCAAAATTGTTAAAAATTAATTATTTTTGAAAAAAAAATTATTTTTCAGTTACATTGAGTTAATATAGCTGAAAAATGCAAAATCTAATGATTTTTGATAATTTTTTTTAATTTTTGAAAAAATTCAAAATTTTCAAAATTTTCAAAAATTGTTAAAAATTAATTATTTTTGAAAAAAAAATTATTTTTCAGTTACATTGAGTTAATATAGCTGAAAAATGCAAAATCTAATGATTTTTGATAATTTTTTTTAATTTTTGAAAAAATTCAAAATTTTCAAAAATTGTTAAAAATTAATTATTTTTGAAAAAAAAATTATTTTTCAGTTACATTGAGTTAATATAGCTGAAAAATGCAAAATCTAACGATTTTTGATAATTTTTTTTAATTTTTGAAAAAATTCAAAATTTTCAAAATTTTCAAAAATTGTTAAAAATTAATTATTTTTGAAAAAAAAATTATTTTTCAGTTACATTGAGTTAATATAGCTGAAAAATGCAAAATCTAATGATTTTTGATAATTTTTTTTAATTTTTGAAAAAATTCAAAATTTTCAAAATTTTCAAAAATTGTTAAAAATTAATTATTTTTGAAAAAAAAATTATTTTTCAGTTACATTGAGTTAATATAGCTGAAAAATGCAAAATCTAATGATTTTTGATAATTTTTTTTAATTTTTGAAAAAATTCAAAATTTTTAAAATTTTCAAAAATTGTTAAAAATTAATTATTTTTGAAAAAAAAATTATTTTTCAGTTACATTGAGTTAATATAGCTGAAAAATGCAAAATCTAATGATTTTTGATAATTTTTTTTAATTTTTAAAAAAATTCAAAATTTTCAAAATTTTCAAAAATTGTTAAAAATTAATTATTTTTGAAAAAAAAATTATTTTTCAGTTACATTGAGTTAATATAGCTGAAAAATGCAAAATCTAATGATTTTTGATAATTTTTTTTAATTTTTGAAAAAATTCAAAATTTTCAAAAATTGTTAAAAATTAATTATTTTTGAAATAAAATTATTTTTCAGTTACATTGAGTTAATATAGCTGAAAACAAAAACAAAAACAAAAACAAAAACAAAAACAAAAACAAAAACAAAAACAAAAACAAAAACAAAAACAAAAACAAAAACAAAAACAAAAACAAAAACAAAAACAAAAACAAAAACAAAAACAAAAACAAAAACAAAAACAAAAACAAAAACAAAAACAAAAACAAAAACAAAAACAAAAACAAAAACAAAAACAAAAACAAAAACAAAAACAAAGACAAAAACAAAAACAAAAACAAAACAAAAACAAAGACAAAGACAAAGACATAAACAATAACAATAACAATAACAATAACAATAAGAATAACAACAACAACAACAACAACAAAAACAAAAATTTTCAAAATTTTCAAAAATTGTTAAAAGTTAATTATTTTTGAAAAAAAAATTATTTTTCAGTTACATTGAGTTAATATAGCTGAAAAATGCAAAATCTAATGATTTTTGATAATTTTTTTTAATTTTTGAAAAAATTCAAAATTTTCAAAATTTTCCAAAATTGTTAAAAATTAATTATTTTTGAAAAAAAAATTATTTTTCAGTTACATTGAGTTAATATAGCTGAAAAATGCAAAATCTAATGATTTTTGATAATTTTTTTTAATTTTTGAAAAAATTCAAAATTTTCAAAATTTTCAAAAATTGTTAAAAATTTATTATTTTTGAAAAAAAAATTATTTTTCAGTTACATTGAGTTAATATAGCTGAAAAATGCAAAATCTAATGATTTTTGATAATTTTTTTTAATTTTTGAAAAAATTCAAAATTTTCAAAATTTTCAAAAATTGTTAAAAATTAATTATTTTTGAAAAAAAAATTATTTTTTAGTTACATTGAGTTAATATAGCTGAAAAATGCAAAATCTAATGATTTTTGATAATTTTTTTTAATTTTTGAAAAAATTCAAAATTTTCAAAATTTTCAAAAATTGTTAAAAATTAATTATTTTTGAAAAAAAAATTATTTTTCAGTTACATTGAGTTAATATAGCTGAAAAATGCAAAATCTAATGATTTTTGATAATTTTTTTTAATTTTTGAAAAAATTCAAAATTTTTAAAATTTTCAAAAATTGTTAAAAATTAATTATTTTTGAAAAAAAAATTATTTTTCAGTTACATTGAGTTAATATAGCTGAAAAATGCAAAATCTAATGATTTTTGATAATTTTTTTTAATTTTTAAAAAAATTCAAAATTTTCAAAATTTTCAAAAATTGTTAAAAATTAATTATTTTTGAAAAAAAAATTATTTTTCAGTTACATTGAGTTAATATAGCTGAAAAATGCAAAATCTAATGATTTTTGATAATTTTTTTTAATTTTTGAAAAAATTCAAAATTTTCAAAATTTTCAAAAATTGTTAAAAATTAATTATTTTTGAAATAAAATTATTTTTCAGTTACATTGAGTTAATATAGCTGAAAACAAAAACAAAAACAGAAACAAAAACAAAAACAAAAACAAAAACAAAAACAAAAACAAAAACAAAAACAAAAACAAAAACAAAAACAAAAACAAAAACAAAAACAAAAACAAAAACAAAAACAAAAACAAAAACAAAAACAAAAACAAAAACAAAAACAAAAACAAAAACAAAAACAAAAACAAAAACAAAAACAAAAACAAAAACAAAAACAAAAACAAAAACAAAAACAAAAACAAAAACAAAAACAAAAACAAAACAAAAACAAAGACAAAGACAAAGACAAAGACATAAACAATAACAATAACAATAACAATAACAATAACAATAAGAATAACAACAACAACAACAACAACAAAAACAAAAATTTTCAAAATTTTCAAAAATTGTTAAAAGTTAATTATTTTTGAAAAAAAAATTATTTTTCAGTTACATTGAGTTAATATAGCTGAAAAATGCAAAATCTAATGATTTTTGATAATTTTTTTTAATTTTTGAAAAAATTCAAAATTTTCAAAATTTTCCAAAATTGTTAAAAATTAATTATTTTTGAAAAAAAAATTATTTTTCAGTTACATTGAGTTAATATAGCTGAAAAATGCAAAATCTAATGATTTTTGATAATTTTTTTTAATTTTTGAAAAAATTCAAAATTTTCAAAATTTTCAAAAATTGTTAAAAATTTATTATTTTTGAAAAAAAAATTATTTTTCAGTTACATTGAGTTAATATAGCTGAAAAATGCAAAATCTAATGATTTTTGATAATTTTTTTTAATTTTTGAAAAAATTCAAAATTTTCAAAATT